AGCAGTCACCAGAAGTAAAACAGCCCTTAAGGGAAAGAAAGGACAGGAGGAGGAGGGAGATGAGAGGGGGGCAAGGATGCTCCCTTTGAGAGAACAGGTGGTGGTGAGACCTAATGGTGAAACCACTAGAGACTATGTATATTTACCTTTTTCCACAGCAGACCTCTTTAATTGGAAAAATCATACTACCTCATACTCTAATGACCCAGAACGGATGACCCAATTATTTGAGGGAATTATGCTCTCCCACCAGCCAACGTGGGGAGATGTAATGCACCTATTGAATGTTCTCTTGACGGAGGCAGAGAGAACCCTAATTTGGCAGGCGGCCAGAAATTATGCCAAAGATAGATGGAAATTTGACAGTCAGACTTATATTCCAGTGGAATAAATAATAAAAGATGCCAAGCCAGTATGGGATCAGGGCCAGACCAAAGAACACCAAAGGTTTTTGTCTCGCTTCCGTGAGCGCGTTCTTGAGGGGCTCCGAAAGGGCTTCCCAAAACAGCTGGCGAGCCACAAAGTATATGAGATCTTTGAAAAGGCAGATAAGAATCCAGCTGACTACCTTGAATGCCTTATGCGAGCCTACCGGCAGTATACAAACTTAGACCCGGAAAGCGAGGGGGCGAAAACCATGCTTAATTCTGTCTTTATTCAAAATTCAACTCCTGATATTAACAGAAAGCTGAATAAGATGGATGGGGCTTTAACTGCCCCTATACACACTTTAGTTGAAGTGGGTTTTAAAGTCTTTAACCACAGACCTCAGGAGGAACAAAAGAAATGGACAAAGGATAAAAGATCCCTCATTGCTGCCTTACAGGGCATTGATGAAGAGGCAGGAAGGGGGAGAGGGAGGGGCAGAGGCCGGGGATCTGCAGAAGGACAGGACACTGGGGTAGAGACTGCCCAGAAAAACAGAGAGATGTCCAACTAGCCCTTCGAACTGAGAATAGCACTTGACGGGGTCCGGGGGTCTTTGCTTTACCCCCTGGGGACCCCGTGGTGGAACTGATGGTGGGGGAACAGCCAACTCAATTGTTAATAGATACTGGCGCCACGTATTCCATCTTGACTGACATCCCCTGAACAAAACCCACTGTCAATAGCTAAAGGAAAAACTGTGGTTGATGCCTCAGGGAAAATGGAAAAGGTGGCCCTGATGGAGTCTGTGCCCATAGAAGAAAACGGAAGGAGGCTGGAGCATGAGTTCCTTTATATGGACAAATGCCCTGCCAGTGTTTTGGGGCGAGACTTATTGATGAAATTACAAGCAAAAATTGAGTTCTCTGATGATGTTTGTACTGTCCAATTTGGGAATCCAGAGGCACGCAATTTTATTTTAACACTTAAAAACCAGCTGTGCTCAAATGAATTAGATGTAATTATAGATCAAGTTGTCCCCTGGGTGTGGGCAGAGGGGTTTCCAGGAAGGGCGAGGAGAGCCGTCCCAGTAAAAGTACAGTTGAAACCTGGGAGAGGCCCTGTAAGAATAAAACAATATCCCTTGAAATTGGAAACAAGAAAAGGTCTCCAGGAGGTGTTGAAGTCCCTTATTGCAACCAATTTAGTGGCACCCTGTGAATCTGAGTTCAATACACCAATCATGGGTGTTCCAAAAGGGGAGGGGAAATACCGTTTGGTTCAGGACCTCAGGATCATTAATGAGTTAACACAAGACATTACCCCTGTAGTTCCTAACCCATACACCTTGGTGACCCTTATCCCAGGGACTCATGAATATT